TCATTGACAACCCAAAATGGTTACCTACAAGGCAGATGAAACATTGCAGTAAAACTAAAAAAATATTTGCAAAAAAAATACAGCAAAAGTTTTGAAATCATGAGATCAGGCAATGCAGAAGACTTGCCAAATGCCAGAAGTATTGGGAAGAGGGCAGTGCCGTTGAAGGCTCCAGTTCCCTTTCTAGGCACCTCAAGCCACTTCACTGTTGTTGAGTATCCAACTGCAAGGCGGTGGCGAGGCGGTGCCGAGGCGAGACCTCTGGAAGCAATTCGAGCAAGATGTTGGGATGCTCGATCCCCTTAAGGTAGTCAGAATACGTACCGTGCAGCAATTTGATGCATGCATCAGTCTGATGCATGAAGCTGAGACAAGCATCTTCACTCCTCCAGCATTTTACAAGTTTTCACTGCATTGCCAGTATATCATCCAACGGTCACAAAACTTTTCTCGATTTTTCTGCACATCTTAAGGAGTTTTCCTGTCACACTTCATATGCAAAACTCTAATAGGTAACCATTTCAGGCAATTAGTATGACCACATAGCAGTTACTGAAAATGGATTGATTGGCAAGGCTTCTCCATTAATAATCATCCCATACACTTGTAATACTATCTGACATCATAGTAAGCTAACACAAGCTTGTGTAAAAAATTTCACCATATCACTCAATTCCACCTTTGTCCTGCCTTTCTTTTGCAATGAGTATGCAACCAACAGTACAAAATATCTTCTTCAATTGATGGATGGTGTATATTGCATTTTCCTATGGTTTTAAACAAAACTTAAAGGAGGGCATTCGAAGGCTCTCTCTTACATTGCATTCACAGAGATCATATTTGAAATATCTCACTATCTCATATTTGAAATATAAAAAAATATCAAAGTGATAGACTCGTGACCCGAGAATCGTGTCGAAATTAGAATGCCCTGTCAAAAATACGCAACTTGAAATGTTCTGATGCAAATGCCCAAATAAGCAGAGGTTTTTCATAACCGCCTGGCAAAATGCCACTTATGATTCAAGGCAAACACAGAAATGGGACATGCAAATTGGCACATGAAAGCCAAACCTGAAATAAGGTCAAGTAAAACTCACAAAAGAAAATGCTGTAAGGTTTAAAAAAACATTAGCAACGAAAATGGGAAAAAAAAAGTGAATGAACGGAGAATGAATGAACATGGCTGACATGATACCTAAAATCAGCTTTTGCTTTGAATGAATCTCCACACACACCACACTTGCATGGTCTTTCATTTGAATGTTTTAACCAATTATCAGCATTCAGATCATCTTTCTGGTGAAATACACTGCCGCAGGTGTCGCATTTGAATCGTCTTCCATCTGAGCGCAAGAGCTTGGGACATTCAGAGTTCTTCATCAGCTTGAATGCTTCTTTACATTCATCATGAGGGACAAGCTTTTCATTAGTATTCAGTTTGGCCGCATGTGGTCTCAGGTCTCCATTTATGAATGTTTTGACAAAACCGTTGCAACAGTTACATCTGAAAGAACAATATTCCCTTTTTGAATGAAGTATATCCTGCTTTTTTCTTGTCCCATTCCTTCCTGTTTGCTCACACCTCTCGGCTTCTCCAAGAGACTTCTCCCTCCGGTGACTGAGATAATCACAATCAACTCCAGAAAACTCTATCTTCCCTTCTGTAGATACCTCCTCACCAGAAACTTTTTCTCTGCCACTGTCATTCAATGGAAGACCACCAAATGCTCCCAATCTTGGATATGGCCCTGAGGTATGTTGCTCTCCAGAAAAATTTCCAAGGTTTGAGGAATTCATAATTTCCCTCACCTGAGAGGAAATAAGTCTATGTCAATTGCACAAAATTGCAAGTCAAGGCAATTAACACAACCAGGAGAATGAAAAGTATGACCTAGATTGCGATGAGTGAACATAGCTACAAATTTCAGCAAAGCTACAAGTTATAAGTTTTCCAAAATGGTAATTAAAGTAATGTGATCCTAATGAAGCTTTCTTGTATTGTTTTTCAGAAATTCTATGAGATTCAATGAATTCTTAAAAAACTTTTTTCCAAAATTGTGACCAGTAGCATGCGGCCAAAAGTGTGCACACCCCCTTGGCAGATGACCTTGACCTGTAGAGTTCTGCATTTGCTGGTTTGGTATGTTCTCCAAAGGCACTTAACTATGAAAGAGTGGTTTGCAGAACATCATCAGAACACCTGAGAGAGAAAGACACTCCTGCACAACTGAGAAGTCTCTCTTACGAACCTCAACACCCTACCTTCTTTAAATTAGGTCTGAATCTCCAAGCACCTTGGATCCAAACGCGCTGTGGCTCTCCCTGGCTACAAGTAGCACATCAGAAGTCACAACTTCAGAAGTCAAAGGAGACTTTGACTTCACATGCAAGGAATGCAAAGATCTCAATTCCATGTTACTACTATCAGCACAATTATTGTCGCAAGTCTGACAAACCGACCAACCTGCAACCATGCCATTTTTCAGAAAGGCAATACATCAACCTTTCGTCCAGACATGAGAAGAATGATTTAAGGCTGAGAGATGAGAATATTACCTGGGAAGCTCTGGCACATGTTTCTCAATATTCATTTTCCTCATCAAAAGCAGGGATCTTCTTGCCTCTTGAACATTTCCAAGTTTGCACGATTGTCCTTTTGTCGGAACTGTCATCACGTCAGCATTTGCACCTTCAGGCAGGAAAACAATGTCAACATTATCAAAATAAATAAAAAATTGGAAAACGGCAAACATTATGCACTAGCATCTGCAATCCCCTCAAGAGGTTTACAGGGTACTCCTTGGTCTCGTGGTTTTTTGCTGGAAGTATAACACAGAATGTGTCTCTCCACACTGGGAACACAATTGCCTAATTTGAATAAAGAAACTATAGTTGCATTTTTGTAGTACAGCAAAGCAAACATTTTGTATTTTGGGTGCTTGATCACCGGCATAGCACAAGCTAATCATTATGATTATTTTCCTAAAAAACTGGATAATATGACTAAGGTTATTCAAATCAATTAATATGAATTACATATACAACTTTTTTAAACCTGGCAATCGTGATGAATCCTTTCATAGTCATTCGCCAATAAAGGTATAAATTGCAAAAAAAACTGGATAATATGACTAAGGTTATTCAAATCAATTAATATGAATTACATATACAACTTTTTTAAACCTGGCAATCGTGATGAATCCTTTCATAGTCATTCGCCAATAAAGGTATAAATTGCATCCAGTTATAAATAATAAATTGCATCTCATCTATCTGAGAATATTGCAAGCACAAAGCATTAATCTTTAAAATACTTTGGATCCATGCCATAATTTGTGGAAGACCCAGGAGTACCATCCATCATCTACTTCTACAGGATGAATGCAGGCAGATACCCCATTTTCATTTTCTTATTTCATTTCATAGCAAAAAAGGAACATTCTCACTTCCAGAGGGGAAAATAGTGCAGAGTGAAGTACAAACTATATCCACTTTCACTAAACCTTCATTGCACAGCCAGTTCCATGCTAAAATTAATGAAATTGACATGCAAGGAATGGCACGTAGAAAACCAAAATGACACAGGGGTTGCCTGTCATCTGTGCCTCTCTCTGGGCTCTAGATTAATCTACGAGATTAAGGATCATTTGAGCAAAGAGAAGCACAGGATTCCTTTGATATTTATTATCTCTTCCTTCAGAGAAACTGAAGCGAGTTCATTCCCTCCATAGCAAAATTAAAGGATACGTAGGCTGCAAAAGGCACGTTCAAAGACTCCGGCAATTAGCCAATCCCACAGATCGGGGATCTACTTGCATTTGACAGCTTGAGAATGAGGCTGATGCAATGAAGATGAACTTCTCCTCTTGATTGAGCTTTCACTCATCAGCAAAACATTACATTTCAGGAACTCGAGGATGCCATCTCTCGAGGTTCAAGGTAGACCAGAATGAAATTGGAAAAAAAATTCAAATGCATTCGAGTGCTAAATCTAAAAAAAAAAAGGGTAGAACAAAACCCAATCAGAAAAGGCAGAAAGACCTCTGAAAAAATAAGCTTTTTTCGCATCATAAAATAATCTGCACAGGAAGTTCTTGACGACCCTTACAAGTTGAATGGCCATGCGAGTAGAGATGCAGCTGAATTCATATCTAACTTTTGACATGTAATGCAATGTGTGACAGCAGAAGGAAAAACAGAGAGACTCAAGAATATTTTTCATTATCAGCATTGTTCACTTGTCTCTGATGATTTTTCCCATGAGAACAAATCAAGGAAGATCCCCATCTGCGTCTGTTAATTCAAACAGGATAACTATAACACATAAAACAAATACCAGTCTTGTTTTCGGATGACCGTCCTCATAGTTTTGTCACTGGTTCGGAAAATGTCACTTCTATTCCAATGTGATACGACAGATATTAACTTCCCCCTGCCTCAAACAAGAGAGAAGAAAATGGTAGATATAATTACTATAATAAAAAAAGTTGCAGTCATTCACTTCTGGACTGCACAGACCATTAAGGATATTTAAAGTTTTCCTTTTTCCAAATGGATTGCAGTGTTCTGAGATGAGGGGAAAGCAAAGGACCAAAAAGCAAAATTCCAACAAAATAGGATCACAAAATTCTGGGAATAGGATCACAACATTTTGCCTTTGGCTCATAAGACACTAGCACACAAAACATTTTTCATTTGAAGTGTAGACACAAAATTATTTTGGGCGAAATTTGCACTGCCACAGGTGTAAAAAATGAATGCCTTTTCATCCATATACTCAAAAATGCTGCGTTCGAGAGTTCCTGTTATCTTGAATGCCTTTCCACAAAAATCATATATGAAGAGAATCTTGGGAGAATGATCTGGGCTAACACAATGTTAGGCATTAAAATAGTTTTTGCGATGAATTAATTATCAAGCACACCACACGTGAACGGCCTTTTACTTTAATGTTTGTGCTGTTGAAGGATTTCCAGATCAGCTTCGCGACGAAACGGTCAGCCACAGGTTTCACACTTGCATGCCTTTTCATCTGTGTGCACTAGAGTGTGGCGCCGAAGCTTCCCCTTTGATTTGAATTCATTTCCACACTGTTCACATATCTTCTCAATGGAATGGACGTGCTTGACGTACCGTCTTAAACAAGCCTTTCCCTTGAATGACTTCCCACACTCATTGCACTTGAATGGCCTTTTATTCGAATGTTTGTGCAGCTGATGGATATGCAGAGTAAATTTCTGACGAAATGCACGGCCACAGGTTTCACACTCGAACGCCTTCTCGTCGGTGTGCACTAGAGTGTGGCGTCGAAGATGGAACTTGGACTTGAATCCTTTCCCACACTCTTCACAGATGAATGGTCTCTCAAGGGAATGGACGTGCCTGACATGCTGGCGTAAATCACCTTTTACTTTGAATGAAACCCTGCACACACCACATCTGAATGGCCTTTCATTCGAATGTTTACGCCGCTGATGGATGCGTATATAAGCTTTGCAATGAAATGCACTGCCACAAGTTTCACATTTGAATGCATTTTCATCCATGTGTACAATTGCTTTCTCTCGAAGTTCAAACTTTGACTTAAATCCCTTTCCACACTGTTCATATATGAATGGCTTCCCATTGGAATAGACATGGTTGATATGATGGCTTAAATCAGGTTTCACTTCGAATGAATCCCCACATGCACCACACATGAATGGTCTTTCATTTGAATGTTTTAACCATATATGGGCATTCAGATCATCTTTCTGGTGATATACACTGCCACAGGTGTCGCATTGGAATCGTCTTTCATCCGAGTGCAAGAGCCTGGGACATTCAGAGTTCTTCATCAGCTTGAATGCTTCTCTGCACTCATCACAGGAGACAAGCTTTTCGTCAGAATTCATTTTTGCCACATGCGGTCTTCGTTCTCCATCTTTGAATGATTCGAAAAAACCGTTGCAGCAGTTGCATTTGAAAGAACAATACGGCCTCTTTGAATCAAGTGTATCCTGCTTTTTTCTTCCCCCATCCTTCCTCGTTTGCTCACTCCTCTTGGCATCTCCAAGAGATTTTTCACTCAGGTGACTGAGGTAATCACTGTCTAGTCCAGAAAACTCTATCTTCACATCTCTAAATCCCTCCTCACCAGACTTTTTTCCTTTGACATCTTCATTAAATGGAAGACCATGATATGGTGAATCCATAATTCCCCTCGCCTGAGTGAAAAAAAAAACTCCATTTCAAGTGCAATAAATTACACACTTAGGCAATTCGTACAATCAGAAAAATCAAGGTTCGCTGTATCGCAATGATTGGACATTGCTACGAGGGCCAAATGTTTTTTGCTTAATGGTGTTAAATGCTCACTGATCCTAATGAATTTTTTTGGCATTGTTTTTCTGGGTTTCAATGAGATTTAGCGAATTTTTCTTTACATTTTTCTTGCCCAAGTCGTGAAATGAAGCATGAGGTCGAAAGAAGAGCCAGACCACTTGGCAGACTACTTTGAGCTGCACATAAAATATGAATTCATAGGTCTCTCTGGGTTCAGGCCATGTTTCTTGGGGGTGACCTCTTTTGGACTAGCTAGTCTTTTGCCATGTCGGCAAAAAGAAAATCACTGAATCTGATTGAATCCCAGAAAAGCAATACCTACAAAGTTCATGAGGATCGGTGGCATATCACACCAATGGGCAAGAACTTTCAAAGTGCCACTATCTGCTTCATGTGACTGCCTGGAACTCTCCGATCGGTGATGTGTGGCCTGCTATATGATGAAACAAGAAAAAAAAGAAACAGGAAATAAATATGAATATGAAAGGGCAAACCCACAGTTTCAGCAATTGGACTCTCCACAATGTTGGCATTCTTTTCCACTGGTGTCAAATGAATGGGTGATTTCCACAAAAGATTAGTACAAATATAAGAAGAAAAGTCCATGAATCCATATAAATCAATTGAATAAATAAGTTTCAATTGCTAATAATAGAAAACTTATTAATCAAACTTAAATAAATATCAGGATTCAAAGGATTCAAAGAGTGCTATGGAGATGAAGTTCACCTCCTGGATGAGCTTTGACTCACCCTGGCCCTTCCATCGAATGTCACCATCAGATGCATCCACTCTAGCATCACTGTCACTGCCACAGATGTTAAACTTGAATGTTGCAAAAAATATACAAGCATAGGAAGCATTCTGGTATCAATATTACACTCGAACAAGAATGGGATAAATGAATTTAACTGAATTGCTGTTGTCAAGTGCACAAAATAACAAGTCAAGGCTATTCACACAAGCAGAACAAAGTTCACCTAGTTGCAATGAGGGGATATATATATATCCTAGTCATACAATTGAGAGAAACAATATTGCTGATGATGTATTAACTAATATGTGATGAAATAAAAAAATAAATTGGAAGGAAATATGAATGCTGGGAAATGTAAACCTACAGCTCAAGCTTCTCATCAGTGTGCATTAGAGAGTGGCATTGAAGATGGGACTTGGACCTGAATCCTTTTCCACACTGTTCATTCTCAAACATTCTCACTCCATGAGGTCATAATGAACAGAGCTCTGACAATTTAAACTGCACTTTCCATTCCTGATTGATCAAAGAATGGTCCACAGAGATCCCTAAATGCACTCACCCGCTCGTCAGATGGCAACCGCCAGGCGTGGCAAGTCGCAACTCTCCTGACCACCGCTGCAAGATCTTGCATCTGCAAGACAAATTGCATCAGCTGGTTCAGGCGACAAAACTCTAGGATCTGCAAGGAGGAGTACAAGGCAATCAACAGTTATTGCCATACATCATGGAAAAGGCACGACTTGAGGATGAGTTTTCCATGACATCACAGGGAATGAATAAAAAAATCTCAATTCTATTAATACATTACTGCATCCAGCAATGTTATTGTCACAAGTCTGACAAAATGGCAAACCGACAAATTTTGGCATTTCTCAGAAAGGCAATATTTTACCTTTCTTCAAGATATAAGAATGATTCAACACATTAAATGCTGAGTTTTTTTCCTGAGGCAGTAATCCCCATGAGAGCATATTTCAGGCTTTCGTCTGTTTTAGGAGGGATGGTACCCAATTTGAATAATGCCCCTTCCCTTGGGAGTGGATTGCAGCAGAGGTGAAATCAGATTTTGTTCAAGTCAAAGCCCTCCAGTCTTCAGCTTCCATTTGAGCTCATGCATTGGCCATGGAGACGAACTTCATCTCCTGGATGAGCATTGACTCACCAGCAAAACACGACATTTAAGGAACCAGAGGATGCCATCCCTCATGGTTCAGGGGGGAAAAAAACACAAACAGGAAATGCAAATACATTCCATGTGAAAGCTAAACAGTAAAAAAAAAAAAAGGCAGAATAAAAATCCCAAACAGAGAATGCAGGATGAACACAGAAAAAGGAAGGTTTGACGTTGCAAAAAAATCTAAAAGGAAGAACATTATCTCTTTTACAAAATATCAGCCATGAGAGCAGACATGCAACAGAATTGATCCTTTCCTTTTGATGCCAAATTTAATAGAAAATGACTGAAGGACACTCAAACATGCATTACACTTACAGTGTTCTTAACTTGGGTCAATTTTTCCCTGAACTGACACCTGTGCATGGGATGTCCCTTGCACACAATTGTCTAAGTCAAGTGAAAAATGCAGTCCTAAAATTTAAGCAGGACAGATATACAAAAGGGGTTTTCAAACTCAGCAATGCAAACAGACCCCTTGTTATGAGAATATCTTCTGTGAAAGAGATCCAATAACATATATATGCATTTCAATTTAAAACACAGGATATATGAGGACTGAAAGAGGATGATCCCAATCTGTATCTGTTTATTCAGCTTGGACAACCAAAAAAACATGAAATAAATATCTCTCAAGCTAATTGAAGGAAGACAGTCCTGCTCATTTAGCACTGGCAATGATTGAGAAGAAAATCACATGCATTCCTATGAGAAACTACAGCCGACGTATCTTTAGACTGGACGCAATCGAAACGAAATCGCCGCCCTGGCCAAACAAACATTAACACTGACACAGATATCAAAGCTGAATGATACATGAAACATACAAACATGGAAAGAAATCTGGCATCAATATTTAATTCAAAAGTGATGGGGATAAATGAACTTTAAATGAATTTTTCCAACAGGGGCAAAAGGATTTAATCTGAATTTGGATGCACAGTCACACATACAACAAGCAAAACCTCTATAATCTAAATGTTTGAAGCACAGATGGGAATCCAGATTATCTTTCAAGCAAAAGAACACTTTAACGCATTTTCATCCAAATGCACATAGTGCAAAGTACCCTCTGCCAAATGCTAACATGAAAGGATCACAAATGAATCAGGGGAAAATAGAAATGGCTGATCTGAAACCCGACTTACTTTTATTATCTACTTCACTGTTTCATCCTTATATGAATCCCCATGAACATCACACCTGAATGGGTTCATATTTGAATGTTTGCACAGGAGATGGAAAAGCTTCACACTTGATTGCCTTTTCATCTATATGCACTTGAGCGTGGCGTCGAAGCTCCCCCTTTGACCTGAATCCCTTTCCGCACTGTCCGCACGCGAACGGCTTCAGAACGGAATGGACATCCTTGATGTGCTGGTCTAAGCCAGTCTTTATTTTGAATGATTTCCCACAACTATCACACTTGAATAAGGGCCTTACAATCGAATGTTTGCACTTTAAATGCTTATGCAGATGAGCCTTGCGACGGAATGCATGGCCGCAGACTTCACATCTGAAGGCCTTTTCGCGTGTGTGCACCGAAGCGTGGTGCTGAAGCTTCCCGATTGACGTGAATGTATTTCCACACTGTTCACATATAAATGGCATCACAAAGTAATGAACTTGATTGATGTGCTGTGTTAAAGAATCCAACGCTTTGAATGACTTCCCACACCAATCACACTTGAATGGCCTTTCGTTCGAGTGTTTGCGCTGCTGATGGTTATGACGAGTGCCTTTCGGCTGAAATCCACTTCCACAGGTCTCAAGCTTGAATGCTTTTTCGTGCTTGAATACGACTGTGTGCTGCCGAAGCGCCAACTCTGACTTGAATCTCTTTCCACACGATTCACATGCAAATGGCTTCTCAATGGAATGGACTTGGTTGATATGTTGGCTTAAAACAGGTTTTGCAAGTGTATCCTGCTTTCCTATTCCTCCATCCTTCCTTGTTTGCTCACGCCTCTTGGCACCTCCAAGAGATTTTTTACTCAAGTGACTGAGGTGATCACTGTCAAGAACAGGAAACTCCACCTTCACTTGTGCAAATGCCTCCTCACCAGAAAATTCTTGCTTGACATCTTTATTAAATGGAAAATAACTGGATGCTCCCGATCTGGGACACGGCAGTGAAGCAGGATGCTCCTCAGAAAAACCTCCACGATTTGATGAATCCATAATTTCTCTCACCTAAGAGAGAAAATAACTCAATGTCAAGGGCACAAAATTACACATCAAGGCAATTAACATAATCATAAAAATGAAGGTTCAATGTATTGGAATGACATTGACACTGCTACAAGGGGCACTGAAAAGTTCTTTCTTAATGGTGCTAAATGTCCCCTGATCTTAATGAAATTGTTTTGCATTTTTTCCTGGGTTTCAATGAGATTCATTGACTTTACTAAATTTTTCTTGCCAAAATCATGACAAGAAGCATAAGGTTGTAAGAGGCCCCCCCCCCAAGGCAGACGACCTTGACCTGTAGAAATCAGCAAGTGCATATTTGGTAGAGTTTCCATGTTTAACTGCAAAAACAGTGTTTTGCAGGATTAAATCATAAAATTGTGATCTTGACCCATCATTTTCCTTTGAAGATGACGGGTGAAGAGGGCCCAACTGTGGATATTTTACATTGAAGGAAGAGCACCATCAAGGTCCTTCAATTTCACCAAATAATAAAACAAATGCACCTGTACAGGTCATTAGTAAGAAAGACTCAAGTGTGACATATGCTGTCATGGAGTGTAGAGACAGAAGTGGCATTTAAAAAATTCTGCATGAAAATCTTGAAGAGCAGAAATTTTGTTCTTGTTGACCTAACTTAGGATTTAAAAAAATGGCTTAAATCAATTACTGCAAAAACTCAAAGGTTGCATTGAAAGTTTGTAGATAGCCCTCAAATGCATATGCTTCGAGTTCTGAAAATTTTAGCACCTATTATCTTCTGAGTGGGCCAGCTGCCACTTTCCATGACTATGCCTCAAGAAGTAGAAGGAGTGATGCAAGTTTTCCTGTTGTGGCTTTTGTGCCTATGAGGTTTTCCGATGGAGTCCACGCATGAAGGTTCCAGTAGGATGATCCTTTGTGACCTCTGAGTAGGACTGGATTGCAAGCAATCCCATGAGTGCCTGGCGAAGGCATGAGGCGACAGAGCTCCTGACATTTCCACCGTGTTTAAATGATACCGTTATTTCAATGAGACCCTCATATTTGATGTGAATCACAACAGTGAGTCTTGTTTGCTGCAGAAATTCACCACAGAAGCTTCAAAATTCATACGATGGTAGTAAGACCATGCAGAGATGATTTATTTCCTTAAAAAAAATGTTGTACATGGTGCCACTGATTGATATCTTTTTTGGTTAAGGTCATCTGTCTTGTGGGTGACATCTTTTGGATTGATGCTATGCATTGCCACAATGACAAAAACTTTTCAGCAAATCACCGAATTAATCATTGAATCCCAAAAAATAAAAATAATACCAACCCAAACCATTTGTGTTAGAATGAGAAAATTACAAGGAGTCCTAAATCACCAAATTGGGTATTGGTAAAAATTTTCTTTCCATGCATATTTGTTCATTTCTTCATGATCTTTGAAAGGTCAAAGTTGTACAAAATAGACACCCTTGTATATTGGATTGGCTAAATATGGTGCTATTTTACATATGGTCTAATATGACATTTTCTCATGGGCATTTGAAGCCTCTCTCTTAAATTATTTCATGGGTGCAGAGATCACATCTGAAATATATCCCTTCAGAGTGATCTCCTGACCCAGGAGGAGCGCTCAAAATTAGATCAGTTGGTCTAAAATGCAACACGTTGAAAGTTTTCATGGAAATAACCTAAATAGACATTGGTTTTTCAGAATAATCTTAACGCAAGAGGCCCTGCCACAGGTGTCATAATTTAATGATTCTGCATTCAAGTATGCATACAAGAACATGTAGTTGCAGGCATGGATTTGTCGTGAAACCATTCTAACACTGCTAACAAACAAGAAGCTTCTCAGTGGAACAAGTTTTGATAATGAAAAGCCTTGGACCACATTACCATTTGAATGCCTCATCACACACCATGCTTTAAGTACTATTTTCTTGGTGAAATCGGAATTTTCAAGTCGTAGACCTTGAGGCTTCCGTTCTCATTTGGGCTATCAGATTGGGAATGGAGATGAACTTCATCTCCTGGATGAGCCTTGACTCACCAGCAAAACATGGCATTTAAGGAACCAGAGGAAGTCATAGCTCACGATTCAATGTGGATCGCACGGAAACTGGGAACGTAAATGTCTTCCATGAGAGCTAAACCGAAAAGAAAACTCAGAATGAAACTACCAAACAGAAAATGCAGGAAGATCTCACAAAATGTAAGTTCTGATGTTAGAAAAACTCTGCAAGGGAGACACTTACTAATTAATGAACCATTAGTGAGGACACACAGCTGAATTCCATCTTCACTCTTGATATCAAACGAAACATGAAATGACTGAAGGAATGAAGTATATAACCAAGAATATATTTCACCAACAGTGTTCTTCACTTGAATCAGCCAATTTTACACTGGACTCGAGACGCCTATGCATGGGACATTCCTCACACGCGAACGTCTGAATCGAGAGAAAAACTGTCCAACTAGAGTGAAGAACAATGTCATGATTTTATCCCTTTCAGTCCTTGCCTGAATCAGGAGTCCCACAATTTCATTGCATACATCATGAAGCTGCATAGAAATGCAACACCTTGAGGGCATGGCACTATTCTGTGTCCCTGTTTAGAGCAGTTTACCACATGTTGTCAAGATGACAGCAGTCCCCATTAAAATGAAGCTGCTGTATTCCCTCTGGCATTTCAAAATTTGTGTCATCATTTACATTTGTTTAAGCTAAGACATTTCCTTCCCAGCAAAATTTTTCAATGCTTTTGAAAGCTAGATAATGGAAAGTACTAGTATTACAAAGATACTAGGAAACATGATGTAAAATAAGGATATGAGAACAATCTTAACTAATTAAATTAAATGCTTTTATTAATTTATTTATTTTATGTAAATAATTGAAAAAAAACCTTTTATCTAAGAAAAACAATTTAAAAGCACTTTTAAGCTACACGAGGCTAGTTGAAGCCCAAAAAGCAAAATGCCTTTTTTTCCATGCCCAGGACATAACTCAGGACTGAAAGGGTCATGCAACATATGCAAACAAATGGGTTCTCAAACTCAACAATGCAAGCAGACCCCTTGTCATGAGAGTATCTTCCATGAAAGAGATTCAGTAACATATATGCATTTCAATCTAAAATACAGGATAAAAGAGTACTGGAACAGGACAGTCCCAAAATGTATCTGTTTATTCAACTTGGATGACCAAAAAACAAAACAGTCGAATATATTCAACTCAGATAACAAAAAAACATGAAATAAATATCTCTCAAGCTAATTGTAGGAAGACTGTCCTGCTCATTTAGTTTTGGTACTGATTGAGAAGAAAATCATATCTATTCCTAAGAGAAACTACAGCTGATGTATCTTCAGACAGGACACAATCAAAACAAAATCACAACCATGGCCTAACAAATGGCCCACTAACACAGCCACATATATCAAACTTGAACGACACATGAAATATACGATCGCATAAAGCATTTTGACATCAATAATTCATTCAAAAGTGAAGGGGATAAATGAACTTCAAAAGGAATTTTCAGCTACATATAATATAAATGTTTGAAGCACAGATGGGAATCCAGATTCGCTTTCAAGCAAAAGGAACAGCTATAGTTGCAACACTTGAATGAATTTTCATCCATATGCACAAAATGTGATGTAGAGATCCACTATCAAGAGATCCACTTACCTAAATAGATCACAAATGAAGCATTTCTGGGTATAATAGAAATTGCTGACCTGACACCCAACTCACTTTTATTAACTACTTAACTGTTTTATCTTTAAATGAATCCCCATGCATATCAAACCTGAATGGGTTCTTATTTGAATGTTTGCACAGGAGATGGATACATAGATGAGCTTAGTGAGGATATGCAAGGTCAAAGGTTTCACACTATTTATCAGTGTGCACTAAAGTGTGGTGTTGCAGCTTTTTCCTTGACTTGAATCCTTTTCCACACTGTTCACATATGAGTGGCTTCTGAGTGGAATGGACATGCTTCACGTGCTGGGCAACGCCAGACTTCAATTTGAATGACTTCCCACACTCATCACACTTGAATGGCCTTTTATTTGAATGTTTGAGCTGCTGATGGATGTGAAGAGTACTTTTGTGATGAAATGCACTTCCACAGGTTTCACACTCTAATGCCTTCTCATCAGTGTGCAAAAGAGCGTGGCATCGAAGATTGGCCTTACTCTTGAATTGCTTTCCACACTGTTCACATGTGACGGGCTTAGCAATGGAATGGACTTGCTTGACGTGCTGCTTTAAACCAGGCTTTACTTTGAATGACTTCCCACACTTTTCACACTTGAACGGCCTTTCATTTGAGTGCTTGAGCTGCTGATGGAGATGCAGATGACTTTTTTGATGAAATGCACTTCTGCAAGTTTCACACTTGAATGGCTTCTTATCGGTGTGCAAAAGAGCGTGGCATCGAAGATATGCCTCTCTCTTGAATTGCTTACCACACTGATCGCATGTGACTGGCTTCTCAATGGAATGGACTAGCTTGACATGCTGTTTTAAACCGGACTTTACTTTGAATGACTTCCTGCACACACCACACTTGAACGGTCTCTTATTTGAATGCTTGCACTGTAGATGGATACGCAGATGAGCTTCCCAACGAAAAGCACTGTCACAAGTATCACACTTGAATGCTTTTTCTTCCACGTGTACAACTGTGTGCTGTCGAAGTGCCAACTCTGACTTGAATCTCTTTCCACACGGTTCACATATGAATGTCTCCTCGATGGGATGGACTTGGTCGACATGATGGCCTAAATCAGGCTTTCCCTTGAATGAATCCCCACATGCACTGCACTTGAATGGCCGTTCATTTGAATGTTTTAGCCATATGTGGGCAGTCAGATTATCTTTCTGGTGAAACACACTGCCACAGGTGTCGCATTTGAATCGTCTTTCCTCTGAGTTCAAGAGGTTCTGACAATCAGAGCTCTTCATCAGCTTGAATGCATCATTGCACTCATCAGAGACAAGCTTTTCGTCAGAATTGAGTTTTTCCACATGCGGTCTCAGTTCTCCATCTTCGAATATTTTTAAAAAACTGTTGCAGCAATTGCATTTGAAAGAACGATATGTCCTTCTCATACCAAGTGTATTCTGCTTTTTTCTTTCCCCATCCTTCCTTGATTGCTCACTCCTCGTGGCACCTCCAAGAGATTTTTCACTCAGGTGACCAAGGTAATCACAGTCAAGTCCAGAAAACTCCATCTTCACATCCGTTAATGCCTCCTCACCAAAAACTTTTTCTTTGGCATCTTCATTCAATGGAAGATAACAGAATCCTCCCAATCTGGGACTTGGCAGTGAATCAGGATGCTCATAAAAAAAATCTTCAAGATTTGATGAGTCCATAATATCCCTCACCTAAGTGAAAAATAACTCATCAAGGGCATAAAATTACACGATAAGGCAATTCACACAGGCAGAAACATGAACGTTCACTGCATTACAATATGCGGACATTGCTACAAGGGCACTGAAAAGTTTGTGCTTAATGGTGTTAAATGTCCCCTGATCCCAATGAAATGTTTGTGGCATTATTTTTTAGAGTTTCAATAAGATACAGTGATTATTTTTTATTTTCTTACCAAAACCATGACATGAAGCATAGTGCAAAATAAGGTCATCCCCTCCCCATGGCAGAGGACCTTGACCCATAGAAACCAGCAAAGTGCATATTTGGTATGGTTTCCATGTCTAACAGCAGAACAGTTTTTACTAGTTAAATTCATCCTTCCAAAACATTGTTTTGCAGGCATTAAATCATAATTTTCCGATCTTGCCCCATCTACATCCTTTGAAGAGGACTGATAAAGATAGTTCAGCTGTGGACATTTTACTTTGGAGTAAGAGCCCCATAAATGTCCTTCTATTTCACCAAGTGATGAAACAAAAATGTGCCTGTACAGGTCATGATCAAGGAAGTCTGAAATGTGCCGTATGTTGTCATATAGCGTTGGGACTGGGGTAGTGGCATTAAAAAAAAAACTGTATGAAATTCAAGGGGTGCAGAATTGTTGTTCTTGTTGGGTCCCCCATGACCTCATTTTGGATTTAAAAAAAAAAGGTCTGATACAATTTCTGCAAAAATAGGAGGGTCACTCTGAAAGTTTTGAGTTACTCTCAAATGCATAGGCTTAGAGTTCTGAACATTTTAGCACCTAACTATCATTTTCTCTGTAGGCCAGCTGCCACTTTTCATGACTGTACCTCAAGAAGTACAAGAGTTGTGCCAGTTTACCTGTTGTAGTTTTTGTGTCCTAGAGATTGGAAGATGGAACCCACTTGTGAGAATTTCAGATAGATGATCCTTTGTGACCTCTCTGTAGGACAGGAACTCAAACAATCCCATGAATGTCTGGTGGAGGCATGAGGTGACAATGCTCCTAATGCATTTGCCATTTTTAAATGATACCATTATTTCAATGTGACCCTGGTATGCTACAGAAATTAATCACGGAAGCTTCAAAATTGGTATGATGGTAGTAAGACCACGCAGGGATGATTTCTTCTCATCAAAAGACTGTTTTACAGGGCTCATTGATATCTTATTCGGTCCAGGTCATCTGTATCGAGGGCGACCTCTTTCGGACTTGTGCGACGCATTGCCATAATGGCAACCGTTCTTCAACAAGTCATTGAAGGAATTATTGAATCCCAGAAAAACAATATCAATCCAAATCATTTGTGTTAGAATGCGAAATTTACAAGGAGTCCTAATTCACCAGATTGAGTATAGTCAGAAACTTTCTTTCCATGAATATTTGTTCATTTCTTCATGATTTAAGGAAGACCAAAGTTGCTAAAGATGGACACCTTGTTTATTGGATTGACTAATTATAGTACTATTTTTTACATATGGTCTGACATTAAATTTCTCATGGGCATCAGGAGGCTCTCTCATAAATTCATAGGTGTACAGTTCACCATTGAAATATCTCCCTTCAGAGTGATAGACTCCTGACCCAGGAGGAGTGCTGAAAATTAGAACCAAAAATGCTACATGATGAAAGTTTTCATGGAAACATCTAAACAGAGAGTGGTTTCTCAGAATAATCTTATGGCAAAGGGCCCTGCCACAGGTGTCATATTTGAATGATTCTGCAATCAGATATGCATACTAGAACATGTTGTTTGAGGTGTTGCATGGACTTGAAACCATTCAAACATCGTTAACAAATGAGAAGCTTCTCGGTGGAACAGATTTGGGCGATGAAAAGTCTAAGATCATAATTCAATTTGAATGCCTTGCCGCACACCATGCTTGAAGCTCTTTTTTCTTTGCAGCAGAGGTGAAATTGGAATTTGTTCAAAGACCTCAAGTCTTCAGTTTTCATTTGAGCTCATATGCTGGCTATGGAGATGAAGTTCGTCTCCTGGATGAGCTTTGACTCACCAGCAAAACATGACATTTAAGGACCCTTAGGATGCCACTGCTCATGGTTCAGGGTAGACCGCACAGGAACGGGAAATGTAAATACATTACGTGTAAGAGGAAAACCTAAAAAATAGGCAGAAAAATTTCTCAAGCTGAGAACGCAGGAAGATCGTCAAAAATGTAAGCTTTGACATTGCAAAAAATCTGAAAGAGAGACCAGTATCTTCCTTACCAAGGGTAAGCCATGAAAGCAGAAACCATATTGAAATTCTTCTTCCCTTTCGATGCCAAATTTAATACAAAGTGACTGAAGGAATGAAGGACATTCAAGCATGCTATCAGTGCATACTGAAAAGAGTTCTTCACTTGAGTCAGACAGTTTTTCACTGGACTCAGACACCAGAGCACAGGATGGTCCTCGCAGACAAGTGTCTAAGTCAAGTGAAATGTTGTCTGATTTGAATGAAAAATGCTGTCATAACTTTAGGCAACATGGATATACAAAATGGGTTTTAAACTCAACAATGCAATCAGAGCCCTTTTTTTTTATAAGAGTGGCTTTTGTGAAAGAGTGTCAAAAACATACATGCATTATATATAAAACACAGCAGACATGAGAACTGGAAAAGGATTATCCCCATCAGTATGTCTTTATTCAACACAGAAAACCATGATGCATAAAGCAAACATCTCGCAAGATTGTTTAGGAAGACAGCCCTGCTCATTTAGGCCTGGCACTGGTTTAGAAACAAATTAGTTCTGTTCCTATGTGAAACTGCAGCCGAAATATCTTTAGATTGGACACAAGCAACACAAAGCCACAGCATTGGCCTCAGTTTCCAAATTTCCCATGAACACCACATTTGTGTGGCCATCCTGCTGAATCAGAAGGACTCACTTGGCTTTTTGAGTGACACTATCACTGGCACATATGCCAAACTGGAATAATGCATAAAATGCACAAAACTAGAAAGGCATTGAAGCATTAATGTTTCATTCAAAAGTGAATGGGATAAATGGACAATTAAAAAAAATTTTTTGTTGCATGGGCAGAAAGTTTACATCTGAATTTGAGTCCACTATCACATATACACCAAAGGAAACATCTTTAATCCAAGTGTTTGAGGCACAGACAGGAATCCAGACAATCATTGCAGCAAAAAGGCACAGCTGCAGATGTCATACTTGGATGCCTTTTCATCCAGATGCACAAAAATTTGATGTCATAGAGACCCTCTTGACTTGAATGCTTTCCCATACAGATCACATGTGGAGAGCTTCTTCGTATAATATGCTTGGCTGACATGATGCCCAAATTGAGATACTTGAACTGTTTTACCTTTGATTTAGCACAATCATCACACTTGAATGGTTTTTTAATTGAACGTTTGCATAGTAGATGGATGCGCAAATCATTTTTGCGATGAAATGAAGTGATACAGGTTTCACCCTTGAATTCCTTTCATCCTTAGGTGCAAGTGTGACGTCGAAGCTCCAACATTGACTTGAATCTCTTTTCACATTGTTCACATACGAATGGCTTCTCAGTGGGATGGACTTGGTTGACATGATACCATAAATCAGGTTTTGCTTTGAATGAATTCCCACACACATCACACTTGAATGGCCTTCCACTGGAATGCTTGCGCTGAAGATGAATACACAGATCGGCTCTGCGGCGATGTGAACTGCCACAGGTTTCACATTTGAATGGCTTTTCATCCATGTGTACAACTGAGTGCTGTCGAAGCTTCAACTTAAATTTGAATCCCTTTCCACATTGTTCACATACGAATGGCTTTTCAATGGAATGAACTTGCTTGACATGAAACCATACATCAGGTTTTGTTTTGAAAGAATTCCCACACACCTCACACTTGAATGGCCTTTTGTTTGAATGCTTGCGCTGAAGATGAAAACGCAGATCGGCTCTGCGGCGATGTGAACTGCCACAGGTTTCACACTTGAATGGCTTTTCATCTGTGTGTACAATTGAGTGCTCACGAAGCTTCAACTTAAATTTGAACCCCTTTCCACATTGTTCACATATGAATGGCTTTTCATTGGAATGAACATGCTTGACATGAAGCCTCAAATCAGTTTTTACTTTGAATGAATTCCCACACACATCACACCTGAATGGTCTTTTATTCGAATGTTTGCGCTGTAGATGGATACGCAGATGAGCTCTGCGACGAAAGGAACTGTCACAGGTTTCACACTTAAATGGCTTTTCATCCATGTGTACAAGCATGTGACGCCGAAGCTTCAACTTTGACTTGAAAACTTTTCCACATGGTTCACATATGAATACCTCATCAATGGGATGAATTTGGTTGACATGATGACTTAAATCTGGTTCTCCCTTGAATGAATCCCCACATGCACTGCACTTGAATGGCCGTTCATTTGAATGTTTTAGCCATATGTGGGCAGTCAGATTATCTTTCTGGTGAAATACATTGCCACAGGTGTCGCATTTGAATCGACTTTCCTCTGAGTAAAAGAGGTTCTGACAATCAGAGCTCTTCATCAGCTTGAATGCATCATTGCACACTGCACAAGAGACAAGCTTTCCATTAGAATTGAGTCGTGCAACATGTGGTCTCAGTTCACCTTCTTTGAATGTTTTGAGAAAACTTTTGCAGGAGTTGCATGTGAAAGAACAATATGGCCTTTTTGAATGCAGTGTATCCTGTTTTTTTCTTGTCCCATCCTTTTGTGCTTGCTCATTCCTCTTGGCACTTCCAAGAAATTTTTTACTCAGGTGACTACGGTAATCACAGTCAAGTGCAGAAAACTTCACCTTCACTTCTGCACATGCCTCCTCACCAGCAACTTTTTCTATTGCATGGTCATTTAATGGAAGATAACTGAATGCTCCCAATCTTGGAGATGGCAGTGCAGCAGGATGCTCTTCAAAAAAATCTTCAAGATTTGATGGATCCATAATTTCCTCACCTGAGTGGAAATAACTCCATGTCAAGTGCACAAAATTACCAGTCAAGGCTTTTCACACAAGCAGGAAAAAGATGGTTTACTAGGTGGCAATGAATGGACATAGCTAATGGACATAGTGGACATTGGAAATGGAAATGGAATTTGGAAATGTTAATTGTCCCTGATCATGGTGAAATTTTTTTGGCATAGGTTTTCATGGTTTCAATCAGATTCTGTGAATTTTTAAAAATAATTTTGCAATAACCTGAAACAGCAAAAGGCCAAAAAGGATGATGACTTTGACCCATAGATATTGGCAAGTGTTGACTGAGTATAGCTTTAAAATTTGCCTAACTTCAAAATAGTGCTTTTCAGGAATGAAATAATATAGGTGATTATACTCCATCTATATCTTTGCGTATGACTGTTTTAGAAATTTTTGGTGTGGACATTTTAGTTAGGAGGATGAGCCCCACAAAGGTCATTCAGTTTCACCAAGTGATGAAACAAATGTGGCTGAAGTGCAGGCTATGATTGAGAAAGACTGAAATGTAACATATGCTGTCAACAGAGCCTTGGGACTTGAGTGATGGCTTGTAAAAGAATTCTGCATGAAATTCCTAAGTTGCAGAAATTTTTGTTCTTGTTAAGTCTTTGTGTTATTGTCACAAGTCTGGCAAAATGACAAACCTGCAATCTTCCCATTTTTCTTCCGGACAAAATAATGATTTAAGGCTGAGGGTTGGGAATAAGCTCTGGGGAGCTCTGGCACAGGGGAGGACGTTTCTCAATATTCATTATTTGTGATAGAAACAGTCATATTCTTGCCTCCTGAACATTTTCAAGTTTGCATGCTTGTCCTTCAGTCAGAATTGTAATTATATCAGTACCTCCACCTTCAGGCATGAAAACAGGTTCAAGGCGATCAAAATAAATAAACAATAGAAAAATAGCAAAAGTTAAGCAATCACCTCAGGAGGTTAACAGGACTCGTTGAGAGAACAATTGCCTAGTTTGAACAAAGAAACTGTAGCTGTTTTTTGTTGTACAGCAGAGTAAAAATTTATATTTTGGGTTGTAGGTCGCAAGCAAAACTCAAGATAATCCTAGTGATACTTGATCTAAAAATGGGAAAATATGACTTGAGATATATTCAAATCAATTCATTCGTGTTATCACTTCTTCGAAATCTGAAAATCTTCAGGAATTCTTTATCCTTTCATAATATTCACCATTTTAAGTATAAACCGCACCAAGAGAAAGCATGAGCTTCTCATCTATCTGAGAATAATGCAAAGACAAAGCATAAATCTTTAAAATACTTTAAAATGTATATATTTTAAAAATATTTAGCAAAAATGGGTGGAAGGCCAGGACAGCCATTAGCATAAGTTGTCTCTAACCTGCTACTACAAAACATAATAAGTCAGAGCCAATAGCACCTTTTTTATTTCCTGTATCATTTTAGAGCAAAACAAGGTCCTCATTCCCAAAGGGGAAAACTGTTAGAATGAAGCACAAACTAAATAAATTTCACGAGACCACCCCAGCACAACCAATTTCATGTTTACATTAATATCTATCATATAAATGTTAGATGCATCTGATGCTACAATTAACCTCCACTGAACGAATGCTAGACATATCTAATGCTATACACGAATCACATCAACGAGTTCATCTGGTCCTTGGGTAGGTGTCTAATCCAAACAAACGATAGAACTGTCAAATCCAAGCGGTTCAAAAGAGGGGAATAAATTTCTGGTGATGAGGGGATCAAAGTATTTAAAATCTCTGCACCAAAGAGGTTAATGAAAATTAGTAGGTGATGAATGCTACCCAAAAGGAAACACGTGTCACCGGGGCAGCCACGACAGTCTTGGTTTCAGGATCACTGAAAACATATCCTACCTTTTCATTTCACCACAGAGTGTGCTGGAAAGTGAAGCATTGCCTGAGTAAACAGAAGTGCAGGATGCAGTTCCTTTGATATTTCTGAATTCTTTCTTGAGAGAGACTGAAGAAATTTCATTCCCTCCATTGCCATACTAAAGCCAACGATGGTCACAAAAAGCATATTTTGATGGCTTCAGCAATCAGCCAGCACTTCAAGTAAGGGATTCTAGAGCTTTCACATTGAGAAGAAGAAACAATTTGCACATTCATTTACCAAATTAAGAAAAAAAAAACAGAAGAAAACAGCAAATTGGAGTCTCCAAAGTTATTGATCTTTTGCTCTTTGGTATTTTTTCATGTTGATAAACTGGCAGTTGAGGTGAAATTGACCTCCTGCATGAGCAATGGCTCACCAGCAGAACACCACATTAGGGGGACTGAAATAGGGCATCTCAGGCAATTTCAGGGGCAGCGATACAGCATCATCCATGAAAAGAACTGAATAAATTGATAGTAAAATGCATTTAGTTTCATAGGAATTAACTAAAAATTCACTGAAGGACAAGTCAACTTGACTTTCAAAAATATTAAATCTAGCGCTTCCAAATTTTTACTGAGTGCTGCACACTTGGACGAGACTAATATGAATCAAACACGAAGCTAGAGTCATGAATTACTGGGGCCAGAGAAATCATATGTCCTCAATGAGGACAGCAAGCAATTTCTTGTGAAACTGCATTACGCTTTCCCACCATTTCCCACCAGATGATAGTTAAATAGAGTAAAATGCTCCAATTCAATCTTCATTTCATTTTTTTGGCATTGGTGATACAAATGAATATTATTATTAATAATAATGATATAGGGCTTTCCTGCCATAAATATGCAAATGGAGTTTAAAATCTGGAAAGTTGTCAAGTAGGAGGATAGACTTGTCTTTCATCATGCTTCCTGTAGCAAATGAGAATTAATGAGATAAAATCACCAAGGTAAATGAAGAGAAACATATTAGTAAAGCCTGGGATTTGATTAACCAGGTTGAATAGAGGTCAGGAGAATCTGAACAATTCAAAGACTGCAAGACTTCCCTCACCGGATTGGAAGGAAATCCGAGTCGAACATGCCAAAAGCTCAACTTTCACCTCATTTGCACAAGTGAATGAATTCCGACTGGACCGACCAAAATTGGGTGACAGGAATTACCACGATGTGCCAATGCAGCCTGGAATTCACTTCCATGAGAAATCATGAGTGCAAGGAACCTAACTGAAAACAAGATGCAAAAAAATTCAATTATAGAGCAAGGTGAATATTGACAAGCTAAAAGTTCAAAATGAACTTCAGAATACTTGCCCTACTCTATTGTTTTCAAGCAAGAATATTTAGGTCTTCAAAACGTAGAAAATGCACTCAATCAGAGGTCTCTTTGTCATGAAGCAACTAAAGCAAGAAAAATGACAGCATTTTCCAAAACTTTCCTGGAATCTTCAAAAGGAGAATGGCAGTGTTACTTGAAGCATTCATGGCATCTTTTTTCATCAGACTGAGTTGAAAATAGTGCTTTTTATTTAGATCAGCAAATTGATTAATGAATATCACTCATCACACGCCACAAATATTTTTCTTTAAATGGCTACTATGTGAGGATGAATATATTTGAACAACTTTATTGATAGAGGGGATTCAAGGAGCTCATCTTTCAAGATAGCACTGTCAATGAATATATGATTAGCAGAAAGAAAGAGAATTGGCAATGCTGAATTTTTTTTCCAACAAGTAATATGAATTTAAATACAGATGGAACTGAAAATCAACAAAATAATTGTTTGAGTTCAAGTAGAGCAATTATTGAAACAGGCTTCACCAGCCAAAAATCTAACCACAATTCCTTGGAAATTTAGGGATTCTGGAGCCTTCTGTATGAATTACATCCCAGAGCAGATCTCGTACTTTATGTGACTAATGGGGAAAAAAAATGAAACTAATGGAATAAGGCAGCGATTCGATTTTCCAAAGTCACAGATCCCCTTCGTGCAGTTCTAACCGAAACTCGTACTCTGGCAGCTGAGGTGGGCTTTCCATCTCGGATGAGTCGCGACACAACAGCAGTGAGGGAGATTTAACCTCCTTGGTGGTGTTCTTTTTTACATTGGATGCACTTGGAAGATATGATATTTTGCAGAATATCAAATCTCTTTTTTAACTAGGGCAGTAACATGTTAGCTGTTTAATTTTTTATGAATTCTCTCCTCTCCTCTCTGCCTTGATTATCTGCTCATGGTTTATTTTTTTTTAATCCCCTCCAACAAATAAATAATAAAATATATCTATGCTTCCCAAATAATTGCATTTGCTACTTTCACACTCTGTATTTTTCTCCAGGAGAGAATTTAAATACTCACAAGTACAGGTTGCCCTCAGAAAATACAATGTGAACTGAAGGACTACTAGATATGCCAAACCATGGGAATCCACACAGCCATAATAGCATTTGCCATACGAAGAAACGAAACAAGTGAATGCATGTAAGCACGCAAGAGAACTCAAGGAAACTGCTCCCAAACCCAGCAGAAAGGTTCTCTTTATTTTCCTCAGGAAGCAGAGGGGATGGGAATCTTCAATGTTGTTTTGCATCCTGCAAAGAGTCATCTGAGACTCTTAGTCTTCCAACAGAATGACATATAAAAAATACACAAATATACAAAGCATACTGATATTTAGTATAAAAGTGAATGGGATGAATAGACTTTAGAAAGACACTCTGGATGATCATTAATGGTTGG